CAAGAAGATTGGCACCAGCTCCAGAGGGCACAGAACGTGCAGGGACACTCGAGTGCCCGGCGCTCTCTCCTCGCCTGGCAAAGCCAACCCCATCCCAGGCCAACGGCCCGTGGGGTCTGGCTTTGCCCTCTCCCCGCCCCGACCCTTCATTACCGCACCTTGTTGGGACCACACGAAGCTCCATCTTTCGCTGTTCCGTCATCGTGCGCATTGTCTTGCTTGTGAAAGACGATGCTCCAGCACAGAACATCGTTTATTGGAGTCTGAAGTATGGAGTAGCCTCTGGGGAGTCTGGGGACTTTATGGACGTTGGTGCACTGGAGCCTTCCACAAAATGCATCTCTGAGGACAAAGAAAGGCAAGATGGGAGAAGAGACCCTTGCGGACCCCTGGCTGGCTTGTGATGGCTCCCAAGGGGATGAAGCAAGGGGGCAAAGCCCTGTCTGGATCTGTGGCTGAGGCTCTTCAGGGAAGCCCCAGATCTGTGGTGGAAGGATGGATCTCTTCCAGTTGCTCATCTTGACAAGTTCTCCTGTCTCTAGCCAGAGAAGGTGGAGGAGGAAGGGGACAGGAGGTAGAACTGCCTTAGCAGCTGGAGACCCTAAATCAGTGTTTTCCAACCTTGGTGGCTTTCAGATGGGTGGACTTCAGCTCCCAGAATTCCCCAGCCAGCATGAAAGTCGCCAAGGTTGAAAACTCTGGCCTAAATCAATCTGTTTATCAATTTAGTTCCTTTAGTTATAGAAGGAGCATTTGGGCTGAACTGGGAGATTGGAAGGAGATGCACTGAAGTCCCAAAGCAGCAGCAGACCCCACGTTTTCCCTTCTGATGTGCCCGTCGTGGCAGGCAAGGAGCCGCTGGCTGGGACCCTTTCTCCTTCCCGTAGGAGTCGATGCAGGGCCTTACTTTTCTGGGCACTTCTTGTATCCAGATTTATCCTGGCCGCAGTTGCCGGTCCGGTCCCCTAGCACGTTCACTTCCTTGTAGCAACTGAGCGGAGCAGGTTTGGCAGCTAAACATTTGGGGGTGGGGGGGGGTAAGGAGGAAGAGAGAGAGGGCAGAAGGCAAGAGCAAGATGGAGTGAGACCCAGCATTTAGGCACATTAGACCGCAATACATTTTTGTTTGTTGATAATATTTATATACTGTAGCTTATTCATTATATGATTGATTAAGATTAGAGGCTGCCCAACTCTCCACACCTTCAGGGCACCTACTGTACGTTATAAAATGGAAGGTGGTAAAAACCAAAAGAAAAATAATGAGGAAAAAAACCAAGCAAACCTAAATATCCAGAAGAACAAGCACAGCACCCCAAAAAACTGTTATGCAGAGTGCAGCTATAATCACAGGTCATGCCAAAAATACATACCAGCATTAGAGAGATTTTAAAAATGCAATGTCCTTATCTTGTTCTCCAAAGAAATCCAGCCAGAAAATATAAAATATCTGGT